AAAAAAGGATGTTGCCCTTAGTTTTGTCATGAGCATTCACCGTCCATAAAATGCAGGGCAGCACTGTCGACCATGCAGTAGTATATTTGGGCTCAAAATGGTTTGAGGAAGGACTTTGAGGAGTTTGAGGTAGTCTGACACAAGCGTCTAACATCTTCAATAGAACGCTTAATTGACTTACAATTATAAGTTACAAATTGTGTTATATCTTTTTTCTTATTCATTTTTATTATTATTATTTTCACCTTTACCAACTGGATGTTTTAGGTAGACATAACGTCTGAAAGATATACCATCCGGCCAAATTTCATCATTCAAAAACTGCTGTATTTTATTTTTAGAAACAAACAATTTATAACAATTGTAAGATCTTTCTTTTTTCGTGTTTATTTTATGTAAAGTAACTATATCACCTGTCTTCTTTTTTATGTACTCACTTATGTCCTCTTCCTTCGTATCTTTTGATACGTTAGATATAAAAAGTGGCACTTTAATTTCAGCTGCCTTAAACCTTCCGTTCGCATCCGTAGACGCCTTTCCCAATTGTCCTATAAATCTATATTTCTTAACCTTTTTCTTAGTAACATACGTCCAATCGTTTTTTGTTACTATTTGTTCTCCTTCTTTCGTATTAGTTGGGCTTAGTACCTCTGCCATAGTACGTGATCGATCTCGATTCCTTCTCACTCCAGTGACTTTTACATTCATGGTAGGTGCTGTTTTCGCACTCGAAACTGGTTTTTCGATTGATACCGTCATGCGCTGTTGATTCTCATAATCCAAAGTTTGTGTTGTACCCTCCATCACACTTTTAGTATTTTTTTTGCGGTGATAAGATTTTGTTGTCACAAATTTTTTCATCTGTATTAGATACAGGAATGTTTTGCAATCCCATAGGCCCACTATCACATGTAAAACTGTTTCCAAATTGCGCTCCTCGCTTTTTGTTTATATATTGAAAATCATTTATGACAGACGCATGCATTAAATTTTCCATACCCATCTTCAACTGATTATAGTCATCGACAGTGACATAGTTTTCATGAACGTGTTTAAGATCAGTTTTCAGCATTACAATATCTTTTAAAAGACCCGTAACATCTACATGGTCAAATGTGACCGGCGGGAGTTTATGCAAATCTTTGGCAACAAAAATAGGCATATCCTCGGTGTTCGTACTTTTTATTAGATCTATAATATCGTCCAGTTCTCGCACATTCTTCCCCTGCTTGCGACGTATCTTGCGTTTTGCAGTTGGTATTGAGTCGAACAGCATACTTTTTGCGGTCGATGTATCCTCCGGTGAGAAAGCACTATTACATATTAAATGTATACTTTTTTCGTCCATAACATCCACTTTGTTTATAATGAACGCTAATACTTTATTTATAACTACATTACACGAATTACATTTAATCACATTAGAGGCCATTTTTAACAGCTACTTAACGCACCGACCGTTTGTTAGCGCGGTCACTCACTGACTTTAAGTTAAACGGTTTTATTTTATGTGTACTGAAAACTACAAAATAATTTTTATTTTAGTCTAATATGCCTAAAAGCTATTCTGCCTAGTACTAAAATATTTCTGAACTAGAAGGTCAAAATACCTACTTGTTATAGTGCGGGCTGCTTAGTTTACCTACCAAGCAAACCCTGGTGTTAGTGTTCTCTCATGAACTGCCTTTCGGCCGCTGACATGGTTCATGTTATGACAACCACTACCATCAGAGATATTAATGACCGAGATCATCTACGTAGGTTGATAGGTAAGTAACTATTTATTTATTTTGTAGTTTTCAGTGCACATAAAATAAAACCGTTTAACTTAAAAGTTTTTTTACCGATTTTTATACAAGATAAATACTCGTTGCTACATTAAAAAAAGATTTGATTACGTAGATAAAAAATAGTATTTGCAATTTAAATACACACTTAAAATTTCTCTACATCAAAATCTCGTGACTTGTATACACCAATTATAAGCAGTTTAAATGGTATTTTTGTTCATGATTCTAACACAGTTTTGAAAAATGTTTTGCTTTTTATACCACAAAATATTCTTACAACTAAATTAATCAAAAACATTAATGGACCAATAACAATGGGATACAGAGACACAGAAATTATAAATACGAAATTTTATTCAAGAGGCAAGGTTCTGTATTCCATTGTGAGCGAGTGTAACTTTGTGTGAAACAAAGTAAAATAAGTTGATTTAGTTTGACAGAATGTGTGAATGTGAGAAAGACTCTATTTTCCGCGCTTAGCCTCTCATTTGGACCGTTGTGCGTATGAGTCGTGGCTAGTACAGCCAACCTAGTTCCGCCCAGAAGCGCAGAAGCTTCCTGGGTTCTTCACAGGCCTCCCGGAGCGACCTCACCATTCTGAAGATTTCTAAACGTTGATGGGCCACAGCCTCACATTCCAGGATTACTTGAGGAGCCGTTTCTTCGGAAACAGTCTAGTTGGTGTGTAGTGAGTAGTTTGACAGAATAAGTTGTGGAAAAACAATAAAATCCGTCAAATAATATAACCAATGTTTGATTTTATATCGATTTTTACTAATTGTATTACTTTCTAATTTCTTATTTATGATAAATAAAACCCGTGTGATTATTACTCCGTTTATTGCGCGACTGACTCATACAATATATCAAAGTACCTACATCAATTATAACTATTTTTATACTTAAATACCCAACACCTCCACCCTTAATTCCTAATAATCATTTAATTAACTTTTAAACACAATATTTATGCAATGACATATTCACCCTTCCGTTTATATACTATGAATAAAATATACTATGATTAAAATCTATATTACATAATTATGTTTGATTCCAGATCGTTACATATTCATCCAATCCATAACGGACTGGTAGCCTACGCTCCCTGGCACTCCCCCATTCTGCCGGACTGGCCGCCCGCCCCGCTAGCGGCACCCTCGAGCCCTCCGACCCCTCACTTTCACCCGGGATAGGCAAAGATAGCAATTCTGGACACAGCCATGAATCCTTACGTTCCGTGTTACCGTTAGTTTGTGTGTCTATATCGTGCCTTTTCAATTGATCTATGTGCCTGTGTTTAATGGACTTGTCCTTAGTTTTAATATTATAATCAGTGCTGCCTAATTTTTCTAATATTATACCTTCTCCCCATTTGGTTTTTGTGCCGAACTGTCTATACCATACCCTATCACCCACTTCGAAATACCTCTGTGTCCCCCTAGCCGCCAGTTCCTGTTTGCGTTGTGCTGTTGACACGTGTTTCTCCCTATCAGGTCTTAAACAATCCAAACGCGTTCTAATGGATCTACCTAAAAATAATTGAGCCGGACTGTCACCCGTAGTATTATGTATTGTATTTCTATACATCAAAAGAAATCGATTCAATGCAGTTTCCGGTTCTACCTTTTGTAATATCGCTTTTTTAATCACCTTTTTGCACAATTTAACCGCATTTTCAGCCGCCCCATTAGACGCAGGATGATATGCAGCTGAAAATAGATGTTCTATACCGTTAAATTTACAGAAATGCATAAGTTCCTCGCTCGAAAAAGGCGGTCCGTTATCGCTCACTATCTGCTTAGGAATTCCGTATCTAGAAAATAAATCTCTTAATTTATATATAACTTGTGAAGCTGTAGTAGACTTCATTTTGATCGCTTCTACCCACTTTGAACAAGCATCTACTATCACTAAATACTTAACACCTCCCATTGGCCCTAAAAAATCGAGATGTATTCTAGACCATGGCTTATTCGGCCAGGGCCACGAGCGCGTTTGGTGTGCACGCGGAGCGTCCGCTACTTGGGCGCAAGTGGCGCACGCGGCGCACTGCCGCTCCACTGCCTCGTCCACCCCCGGCCACCACACGTAGCTGCGCGCGACACTCTTCGTTTTTACTATTCCCATATGTGTCTCGTGTAGCTCCTGCAAAACGCTCGTCTGAAGTTTGTACGGCACCACTACCCTATGTCCCCACATGATGCAATCTAACTCGGTATATAATTCATTTCTACGATTGAAAAAAGGTTGTAATTCTTTTATTTCATTATTAGTAGGCCAGCCTTCCCGAATATGTCTAAGCACTCTGCTTAGTAGGGGATCTCTTTTTGTTTCTTTCCTTACATCATTATAATCTAACAGGAAAGCATCTGCTGCGAAGTGTAAATAAGTCTGCTCGGGACTGTCTTCCTCCCTCTCCCCCTCCGCCTTATAAGCAGCTATTAGCCTCGAAAGCGCGTCGGCTGTATTATTTTCAGACGAAACATATTCTATTTTAAAATCGTATGCTGATAATATGAGGGCCCAACGTTGTAATCGACTGGCTGTCATATTGGGAATACCCGAACGTGGGCCAAATATACTAACTAATGGTTTGTGATCGGTCCGCAACACAAACTGCCTACCATACAAATACTGGTGGTATTTCTTTACAGCAAAAACTATAGCTAAAGCCTCCTTATGTATTTGGCTATAGTTGCGTTCTGCAGGCGTGAGAGCGCGCGAAGCATACGCTACGACTCGTTCCGCGCCACTGCCTCCGCCGCCGGGCACGCTCTGCGACAGCACTGCCCCGATACCGTGTGCACTCGCATCGCACGTGACCATCACCGGCAGAGATGCGTCATAGTGAGCGAGCACCTCACTGCTACTTAATAAACATTTAACTCTTTCAAATGCTGATTGATGACATTTTAACCAAACCCACTTTTTATTATTTTTTTTTAACAACACATACATTGAACTCAAATAACTGCTTAAATTTTTAATAAACTTTCCATAAAAGTTTATCATTCCTAAGAATGATTTTAATTCTGAGACATTGGCAGGAGCCCTCATTTTTAATATTGGATTTATTTTTTCCGGGTCTGCCCTAACTCCTTCTTTATTTATAATGTAGCCCAAATATTTTATTTCCTTCGAAAAAAAATTACATTTTTGTTTCTTTATTTTAAGTCTCATGACTCTTCAATTTTTCTAACACAGCTATCAAACTTTTAATATGCTCTTCTTCTGTTCGCCCTCCTATACAGATGTCATCAAAGAATATCGTAACATGTGGTATGTCTTTTAACAAATTATATATGATTCGTTGGAAAATTCCCGGACTTGAAGCCAAACCATAGACAAGTCGTTTGTATTTGAACAAACCGCGATGTGTATTGATAACAGTGAGGTCGGTGGAGTCCTCAGATAACCGTATTTGTGCATATGCCTGTGACAAATCTAATTTACTAAATATAGTACTTCCACTTAATCTCGCAAATAAGTCCTCGATTTTTGGCACAGGGTACTTATCAACTAATAAGACACGATTTAGTGTAACCTTATAATCGACACATAAACGTAAAGATCCATCAGCTTTATGAACAATTACTAACGGTGTAGCCCAATCAGAGTGGTCGACGGGCTCGATGACGCCGGCGCTCAGCATAGCATCTAGCTCGGCGTCGACCCGCTCTCGTAACGCATACGGCAGCGGTCGCGCCCGGCAGAATACGGGCTGCGCATGCGGCCGCAGGCGCAAAACGGCGCATTCGCCCGTATAACACCCCAACCCATTCTCGAACACTTCAGAATATCTGGAAATAATATTTTTTTTACAATCATTAATATTCAATTTACAATTATCCTGTCTAACATTATTTATACATATTTTAGGAATATCTATATCGAGTTCCGCCAACCACTGTCGGCCCAGTAAACTAGTCGTACCACTATTTATAACATACAAATCTAAAGTTTTATATAACAATCCATATTTTACATTTACTTCGATAAATCCAACAGGTTTTATTCGACTACCATCATAGAATCTTAACATTAAGTTACAAGGCTTTATCGGAATATCAAAAAATAATTCTGTGTACATTTTTTCACTTATGCACGACAAAGCCGATCCCGTGTCGACTTCCATGGTGATGACTCGATTATTAATGCAAACTGTCACGCTTACCGGTTTATATTGTCCTAAAGACATCTGATATACTGCTTCATCACTGTCAGACGCGTTACCGTCAGCTTCCTCCAGATGTTCCATCTGATGACCCGCATCGAAACCCTCACGCACCCAATACGCCCGGGCCTGGCTAGTTTCCTTGCTATCGAGTCGCTTCGCATTGTTTCCGGTGCCATAACCGCGCCCCCGGCTCCGTATCTCCTGATTACGTTGGACGCCCCTTCCGCGCTGGATATTAGCTCCCCGCTGAACGCGATATCGGGGCCCAGCCGTCCACGCCGCATCATCTCCATATAACCCTTGTTCTTTTACTGGACATACTCTCCGTAGATGTCCCTTTTGGTTACAACGGCTACAGACATAGTCTCTGAACTTGCACTGTTTATACGTGTGATGGATGTCACCACACCCCCAACAACTGGACTCGTGAAGTTTATTTCGCGTTGTGATATTGCCCTGCCTTGCAACATACGAGTATGAAACTCCTTCTTCCTTATTCTCGACAACCTGAGCGTCCCGCTCCGCCGCCTCCAAAGACAACGACAATGAAAGTGCTCTTTCAAAATCTATCTTCTCCTCTGCAAACAGCCTTTGTCGGATTCCGTCGCTTAATATTCCACAAATAAATTGATCTCTCATATTTTCATTAAAATTTAAATTAAATTCACAATTGGCCGCCATTTTCTTTAACTGCGCCACATATTGTGCAACTGACTGACCGTTACTTTGCCTACACTGTCTAAACCTATATCGCTCCGCCAACACCGACGGTTTCGGTTGTAAAAACTTTTGCACTGTGTAGACTAGTTCACTGTATGTTTTCTCACACGGTTTACTCGGACTGCACAAATTCACCATAAGTTCATAGGCCGCGTCACCAACCACCGATATAAGTGTCGGTACTTTCAGTTCATCTTTAACCGTATTTGCCTTGAAATACATGTCCATCCGATCTATATATAACTTCCAATTGCCCTCTTGCACGTCAAACTCACTTAGTTTTCCCACTGACATTGTTTTTTTTGCTATTTTAATCCTCGTCGCCACTGATAAATAAAACCCGTGTGATTATTACTCCATTTATTGCGCGACTGACTCATACAATATATCAAAGTACCTACATCAATTATAACTATTTTTATACTTAAATACCCAACAATTTATACTAATGTTATAAAGTGGGGGGAAGGGATTATTAGTAATGCGGACTACCAGTCCCATTGCCAACAGCATGAATTTACTGGGTACAGACGAATAACACCTGAGTCCTCAGGAATGGCAACGCATGGGGGGTATCATGGGCGAAACAGTATACTCTGTTATGTCCATGGTACTGCTAAAGTCTATAGGCAACGGTTACCACTTTCCATCAGGTGGGCCGTCAGCTTGTTTGCCATTCTAAGTTGTATAAAAAAAAATGCCTCATCAGATCAACCTCCCCGTGGTTTCCCCTCAGGAAACCATAGTGCTGAATGCTATGTGTATTCATCACGATGGGTTAACTGACCTGTATTTTATCCTCACCTATCAGCCCTCATTGATGATTGGAGATGTTTTAAGAGGGACGCAGCTGTTCTTCCCTTGCCCTCAAATGGTGATGACGATGCATATATATTATATTTTATGAATGTGCTATAATGACACTGTATACCATTACTACATGCAATGTTACATTTATATTTCTACGCATATAAATTTAAGAAAACAATTTCGTATTAATACAAGGCCGACCAGTTTTAGGTGTATTTGCACTGTCACCCCTCGTCTTCAGTCGGCTTCCGACATCGCATCGTGCGTATCTCGATCTACCAATTTTCTTTTCTTCAATCTTGTAGGTCTATTCGCAAATATATAAATGAAATTTTTTATTTTTTATTTTCATGCACGACTTTATAGTATTATAATGGAAAACTTAGAGGAAATAAGATATAGGATGAAGTTGCTACTAATTGTCAAGTAAGAAATTTTTACCGGCAACTTTGTCTATACGACCGTAATATAACTGAATGATTTGAGCAAAGAGTAGCTTTTGTGCTTCCTCATTTCAAATGTCACTATCGCTGCATAGTATAAAACAAAGTCGCTTCCCATCTGTTTGTCCCTATGTATGCTTATATCTTTAAAACTATGCAATGGATTTTGATGCGGTTTTTTTAATAAATAGAATAATTCACGAGCCAAGTTTATATGTATAATACATGCATTACATAGTAGAGAAACACTGATAATTTTAGAGGTTTCTGATGTGATGTAATGTGCACCTGTGCGAAGGCGGCCTTTACATAGTAGAGAAACACTGATAATTTTAGAGGTTTCTGATGTGATGTAATGTGCACCTGTCGGGGCGGGTCGCTAGTATAATATAACATATCTCACAACTATTAAGTCAAGAGGTAATAAACAAGTTGGCGAGTAAGGAAAAGAACGAGAAAGCAAACAAACATATTCACATCAAATTACTATATTAGTAAATATTAGTAATAACAATAAGGATGCAAAATATATTAAGATACTTCGCGGAATATGCGCAGTCTATGAACAAACTCTGCAGACTACACCCAACTTATAATTGTCACGGCGATTTCTGCTGCATCAACAAGTTGAACGTTTTAACTTTGCTTTTGCATGCAGAAACTAATTTAGAAAGAGTTGTTATGTCTGGGATATATTCTCTTCGATATAACGAGACTTTGTCTTTAGTAGTTAAATAACGTTTGGCAAAGATCCTTTTCCATTACTTAATTACCTTTCTCTTGCTCTCTCTTTATTTTGATAGCTACGTATCCCATAAGATAGTGCATCGAAGAATTCGCTTGCCTCGCCATCGATCACTAGCAAGATCATGAGACAAAAGGAGACAGCAACATCTGATATCTTATCCCAAAATATGAACTCGCTTGTAATAACAATTACATCGATGAATTCGTTTGCCCCTTATCTTTCTTACTTTTGCTTTGCTCTGTCTTCGACATCTTTAGAGAGCTCATATTATCTGATTTTTGTTCTGCCTTTAGATCCATCTTTCTGACTTTCATCGATACGGTCTTCTTGTTTATTATTTAAGTATTAAGTTTGTAACAATTGAAGGAGAGTGGAATAAATACCTGCTTGTTGCGGAACAAAATTTACTTGAAGAAAATACTACATTTTAAATTAAAATAGGTTTTGACGAATTGGTAACCGCAGTTGGCTTTAAGAGATGTTTAAAGAGATACGCTGTTGCCCATTAATTAATTTCTTAGCATTATGTTCCCTTAGTTGCCTCTTACGACACCCACAGGAAAGGAAGGTGTCCTCCACACCTTCCTTCACAAATCATAGTTGGATTTGAAATATGTAATCATATACATTTATCGGTGTATATGCCTGTAGTCAGAATTGACACCGCAATTGATTCCTTAGGCAAGTAAAATCTGCTTAATTTCCTTTTGTTTTGTATTGCATCAAGCAATTTATAAACTGAGAAAATAGATTCAATCACTTCCATTCTATAATAGTTGTAGTGCGCTTGTGACATCCATCCATTGAGTGAAGACAAAGGGATCGTGTCGATTCAACTTTCAAACTTTCCGGACTGTAGCTAAAAGCTACGTCGTTACTTTTACTGTTGTTGATTTATTCCTTTCAAATATATGCTTTCTGAAAGTCTATTTTTATATGTGCACTTCAACAAGTTTACAATTTAGTATTAATATTTATTTTACTTACGCTATCCCTATTAAAATTATAAACTTGTTGATGTCATATTAACTTGGCTAATTCCATCTTTGTGGCTTGGTATGGCAGTATAATTATTTGTCCCAAATACTACTTAACTTTGCGATTATTGATTTATTAAAATATTTTTTAAGACCTCAAAAGTTTACAAACAAATATTCTTTCGCCTTTATAATATTATTTAAAAAAGAGGCAACAATAAAATACCATATTAGTCGTTAACTCTCCACTGCTGAACATAGGTCTTCCCCAATAGGTTTCCAGTTTTGCAAGAAGTTGCCACGCTTGATAGGCGGGTTGGCAACCTCAGTTAGATATTTTAAGACAGATCTTGCTGGTCGTCCCCCGGTCATTAAATTCCCATAGTCGTCTCTTACGACACTCACTGGAAAGAGACAGGTGACCCATTCTATCGTGACGACATGGTGGAAATAACAATAAAATATCCTAGATTTTTCTAACATTCTGTAATCATTCTTTATTTTCTATATTCCTCACTTAAGTAGAACTCAAATTTCCACTGAAACTCTGTGAGTGACATTATTTTCTACTGAAAAATTAAACTTTGTCAATTCGTTTGTGTATACCAGTGCAGGTATATGTCCAGGGCCGCCCGCGCGCCGTACCGGCTCGGAAGCGACGAAAGTTGCCAACACAAACAATCCGTGGAATTTGAAGAGTTTCAGAACGTTGGGAAACGTTTAATTTCTCTCAAACTAGTCACTCAGCTATAACCATTTCCGTTTATTACAATCTGCTGTTCAATATTGAAACTCTAATAATGACTTACTAGAATGAGATTTTATAATGCACGTAAAATGTATCACACTTGTATTTTTACCTACAAAGAGCATTTTTTCATTTATTTAAAGAAATAATATTAAACACATATTGTGAACATAAACGGCGAATCAAAAACTTACTAGCGGTTTATCTGTCACTGTCTAAACATACTTGTATTTATTGAAAACACGCTTACTTTTTTCTACTATTTTCTACTATTGGACATCAGCATATTGCTTTTTAATAGGATCAGGGTACATTTTCGGGAGAAAAATCGACAACTGATGAGAAAGAAAGGTTCTTGATTGGCAACCCTGTACAGGCAAACGCGGACGACCTCCCACATGGAACGATGACTTCAAATGCATTATAGGAAGTCAGTAGACGCAGGTGGGTTATTTCTTAACATATGACAGATATAATATTTCATGTATCAAAAAAACAGTAAACACTAATAAACTTTTTGACACAACATTATTTTTAAAACAAACAAAGAAACTATTTCAGATGATATATTGAGCTGTCTACACGGAAAATATGTCAAGAGTGACACGATCGATCAGAAGGGTCCACCAACCACACTCGATTACTGTACATCAATGTGATAGGCTCGCGCACGCCCATCCATCACCTAAATATTCATTTATTGCTTATTTTATGATAGTCGTAAAATAAACAAACGATACATTTACAAAGTAATGTTGTATCGTTCGCAAATGGGATATATACGCGGCCGCCCTCTCCCACGGGTACACATAAAATTTTGGAAACAATTTTAATGTAGGTAAGCGACCATAGTCCGCCGGCGGCGGTGAATTTTAATGATGAATTAATATTGTCCAAGGTTAGATAACATTTAAGTTTGGTTGTAACAATTATTTATTTATTTATAGAACAGTATTTACGTTTATTTTATAGACTGTTCTGTTTAATGGAATTATTTTTATCTAGTTATCTATTCACGCTATAAATTTTGTTATTTTTGTTTTACATAATTGTTATTTTTAAGCATATTTCTCCGTAATGTTTTTTTTTTTGATGGGTGATAATGGAATGGTAACCCCGCCTGCGCTAATGGAATACGCTGGCGGGGCACCAGTGAAGGGTGATCGATGACAATGAAAACAGGCCAGTTAGCCCATCATGATGAATCCATCAAGAATTAACCATGATAGTTTCCAGGGAGAACCGCGAGGAGGTCCACCTGGTTGGGTATATTGCTAGCAATGGGATTTTTAATCTCCATTACTAACAATCCCTTTGCCCCCTCTCCGTAATGTTAAGTATGGTTTTATAGATAAGTAGATACAGTAGTTTCAGATCAAATTGTAAACATACAAAAGGTATTTACGAAAGGATTATCACTGTTTGTCTGTCTATGTAATATTTTTGATCTGATATTGCTCAGTAGTTTGTATTCACACAAATTCATTATTTAGTTAAACTTTTTGAAAAAAGCAACAGGTAAGTTTGTCCGTTCTTCTTGACTGAAATTGCATACGGAATAGGTGGTAATGGAAAAATGCCTATTCGAAAATGTTTAAATCTAAGTTTGTTTTGAATAAAAATATTTCTTTACTTCTTTCATTACTTAAATATTAACCGACAAGAAAAAAGAGTCACTCTCTATATGTTTCTATTGTTTAAGTGCATACTTCTCGATATCTTTGTTAGTTTTGATTATTTATTAATTGAGAGTTCATACAAATTTTATGAAGACTGAGTTTTCAGTTGATATGCATACTCAAGTACTCATTCTTATTTTTATTTATGTATCTATAAATTTACTTATAGGGTAACCAAGAATTAAGGAAACGATGAAAATATTAATGGTACTGTATTCATTAGAAGTATATTTGATTATTTGTATAATTGGCCATAGATCTTGATCGTAGCCAACGATTAATGGATCGTAAAATAATTTATTACACTATACCGACGGTGCCGTGAATTTCCACCGAGGATTCAATATTACAATATAATAGAGTACTCTTTCGGCGTAATTTAGATTTATAGCGACCTTGCTGGTAGTTTAACACGTTGTCATACCTTCTGTTTTTATGGAATGAAAAAGGAATGGAAATGCAGCTTGCGCTATTAGTATATACTGGCAAGAAACTAGTGACGACTCTTATAGAGTTAAGCTCGTCTGTTATACATCTTTGCTCAAAATAATTTATATTAATGCAATCTTTATTATTTATATACTTATTTATTTGTGTAGGTGTTTATATGCATGTATGTATGTATGTGTATGTATGTATGTATTTATGTATGTGTGCATATATGTATGTGTATGTATATGTATATGTATATAATAGGGAGTAGGGATATATATATTTACATTATTACATGTATTAAATCTCCATATTTACTAATAATAGGATCTTCATCGTGCCTCCAATCAAACAGTTTATAATTACTCCTCTCCATCCAAAGGTTGCCTGGAAGAGATCGCTCTTAGCGATAAGGTCGCCAATTGTTTTCTCGTTGTGATTATTTCTTGTAATTGTTTATATTTATAATAAGTTTACTATTGTAATCTTTTGGAGGAAACAATAAAGAGTATCTATCTATCTATCTTTGTGTGCAATAAAGTATATATAATAAATAAATGATTGGATGAAGTCAGGTTGTGGCGAATTGACCAGGAATCAATCATAGATAGTTTCTGAGGGAACTGTTTGGAGTTTAACCTATTGCTAGCAATAGGGGCTAATTATTATTATGGATTATTATTATTGTTATGGGCCATATATATTAATGATCGAGGGGTGGACAGCAGCGTTCCTCTTAAAACATCACGAAAGTCTTATTGTGTTTTTTTTTTCTAATGGATGAAAATGGAATGGTCCTTCCACGTTTTATACCAAATATAAAATTATGAACTGAGCTAAACTCCACATTCCTCTTAAAATTAAACATGAATATCAGCTGTATTCTAGATCGTTTATTTATTTATTTATTCTATAGTTTTATTGTGCAATATATTGCACAATAAAACTTTGTACAAATATTGAGCTTAATGCCATATGGCATTCTCTACCAGTTAACCATTATTATTTATCTACTTGCTTGGCCACTGGAGTCAGTGGCTTGTTTAAACTGCCTCTCAGACAGGCCATCATTCACACTGCCCTCTTTAGCGGAATAGTACGGACTATTATTGTTTTATCTGTGACAATAGTTTGAAAGCGCGTCGACGAACATCTCTGTTTCTAATGTATGTATGTATATATTTTTTATACTTCTTAGAATGGCAAACCATAGATATCTCTAAATACTATGATGCGCTTGATACCCTTCATGAATTGCTATTCCTGAGGAGTAAAATGGCATATTTCAGTAATTTGTAATTTCATTGCCATATCCCTACCCCAAAAATAAAAAATAGACACCTAACT